GGTCCCGTGTGGCTCCCTGTCAGGTCTTCACCTCCCCTCGTTCTCTACAAACTTGGTGAGTGGTGCTGACCTCCAGGACTAGTGGGTTGACCAGTTCACCACTGGAGGTCAGCGCGTGACCCACTGTACGTGCTCCCGGACGGGCCGGCACCTGGCCACGTTTACCCGTGTGCCTGGCTCGAGTCTGTATACACTGACTACTGTGTCCCCTCAGGTCGCTGCGTCCGCATCTGCGTCAGGTCAGCTAGCGGCCCCCTGCTCGTGTCGCGCTTTGTCGCACCAGACCCTCCTTTGGCACCACCGTCTTGGTCACCCCTCGGTGCAGCGCCTTCGTAGCATGCACCGCCGTGTCCTTGTCTCTGGTCTTCCCAGGGTTCTCCCTCCCCTCCCTCCCTCGCCTGCTCCTCCCTGTCTTCCTTGCGTCAAGGGACGGCAGCGCGCCGCTCCTCACTCCTCCTCGTTTCCCCCGACGACTGCTCCCCTGCAGACCCTGCACATGGACGTGTGGGGCCCAGCCCGCGTCAGTGGGTAGGACCGCAAGCGGTACTTCCTGCTGGTTGTTGACGACTACTCGCGTTACACCACGGTCTTCCCCTTGCGCACCAAGGGTGAGGTCCCTGATGTTTTGATCCCTTGGATCCGCGCTGCCCGTCTCCAGCTCCGCGAGTGGTTCGGGACGAAGTTTCCTGTCCGGCGTCTGCACTCTGACAGAGGTGGGGAGCTTTCCTCCGACCTCCTGCAGAGCTTTTGTCGTGGGGAGGGCATTCGCCAGACGTTCACGCTTCCGGCCTCTCCGCAGCAAAATGGGGTTGCTGAGCGCCGCATTGGCTTGGTCATGGAAGTCGCTCGTACCTCCATGGTCCATGCGGCTGCCCCCCATTTTCTGTGGCCGTTTGCGGTCCGCTACGCCGCGCATCAGCTCAACCTCTGGCCCCGTGTCTCCTTACCGGAGACCTCGCCCATACAGCGGTGGACGGGGGAGGTTGGCGATGCGTCGGTGTTTCGGGTCTGGGGTTCGCGTGCCTTTGTCCGCGATACCACCGCGAACAAGCTCTCCGCCGCGGTGTTCCCTGTGTCTTCCTTGGTTTTGTCCCTGACGCGCCTGGTTGGCAGTTTTACCACCCCACCTCGCGCCGTGTCTTTCCCTCTCAGGACGTCACGTTCGACGAGTCGGTTCCCTTTTACCGTCTCTTCCCCTACCGCACTACCCCTCTCCCCCCCCCCCCCGCCGCTCTTCCTCGCACCAGATGCTCCCCAGGTAGCCCCCCTCCCCGCTCCCGGTCCTGCTCCTTCAGGTGTGTCTCAGGTAGACCCTCCTCCGTTGACTGCACCGGTTGAGGTCACTGGTGACTCAGGTCCTGCTGGGGGTGGTCCTGCTCGGGGTGCTGCTTATGGGGGTGCTGAGCCTGGGGCTGCGGAGCCTGGGGGTGCTGGTCCTGGGGGTGCGGCGCCTGGAGGTGCTGAGCCTGGGCGTGAGGAGTCTGGGGGTGCTGAGCCTGGGGGTGCTGAGTCTGGGAGTGCTGCGCCTGGGGGCGCTGTGGCGTCTGGTGAGCAGTCTCCCTGGAGCGGTCTCCGTAGTCGCTCTGTTGGTGCCTGGCCGCTGCACTCTCGCCGTCGTCTCCCTCTCTCCCCACAGCAGCTGCGTGAGTGGTACATTAGCCGTCAGAGTCGCGGTGATTCTGACTGCGCTCGTGCTGCTCACCCATCTGTCACGCGTCTGCTAGCCACAGTTGTCACTAACCCGTCGTTTGAGTCTGCTGTTGCGTCTGCCTTAGTCGCTGAGCTTGTTGACTTGACTGCTGCCTGTCGTCTAGACTACGCTGCTAGTCTTGCTGCTAAGTTTGAGTCTGTCTGTCCCTCGTACGTTGGGGGTGAGTGTGCTCTTGGCACGGACGTCCTTGAGGACAGGCAGGAGGACCTTGAGTGTCTTGCAGCCGCTGCGCCTCATCTCGAGTCCATGCTGCTTGCCCCTGAGGGAGACCCGGATGCTCCAGACATCCCGACCCCGCGCTCTTACGCTGAGACGATCGCGGGTGAGTACTCCTCTCAGTGGCAGACGGCCATGGATGCAGAGATGGCATCCTGGAAGTCCACAGGCACTTACCTCGACGAGGTTCCCCCTCCAGGGGCGAACATCGTCGATGGCATGTGGATTTTCAGGGTGAAGCGGCCGCCAGGTTCTCCGCCTATCTTCAAGGCTCGTTACGTTGCTCGAGGCTTCAGTCAGCGAGAGGGAGTTGACTTCTTCCAGACCTTCTCTCCCACCCCGAAGATGACCACTCTTCGGGTGTTGCTGCACGTTGCCGCTCAGCGTGACTACGAGCTTCACTCTCTTCACTTCAGCACAGCTTTCTTACAGGGCAGCCTGCACGAGGAGATCTGGCTGCGCCGCCCTCATGGCTTCACTGGGTCGTTCCCTCCTGGTACCCAGTGGAGCCTCCGGCGGCCGGTCTACGGTCTCCGCCAGGCGCCACATGAGTGGCACAACACACTGATGACTACACTTGCTGCTCTTGGGTTGCTGCGTCGACTGCTGACCCGTCGCTGTTTCTGCGCACCGACACTTCGCTGCCGCCGTTCTACATCCTCGTGTACGTCGACAACTTGGTCTTCGCCACTGCTGACACTGTGGCTCTCGCCCTGGTGAAGTCAGAGCTGTAGAAGAGACACACGTGCACAGACCTGGGTGAGCTGCGCAGCTACCTTGGCTTGCAGATCACCCGGGACAGAGCACGCCGCACCATCACACAAACTCAGTCACACATGGTGCAGCAGGTCCTTCAGCGCTTCGGCTTCACCTGGTCCTCGCCACAGCACACTCCTCTGGCTATAGGTCACTCGCTCTCAGCTCCACCTTTGGACGATTTCGTAGAGCCAAGTGGTCCTTACCCAGAGCTAGTGGGCTGCCTCATGTACCTGATGACCTGCACTCGTCCTGACCTTGCGTACCCTCTTGGCCTTCTGGCTCGCTACGTGGCTCCTGGTAGGCACCGAAAGGTGCACATGGATGCTGCTAAGAGGGTACTGCGCTACTTGTGCACTACATCGGGCATGGGGCTCGTGCTTGGAGGACGGGGCGATGTTGTCCTCACTAGGCACTCGGACGCTTCTTGGGTTGACGACCTGGCTACGCAGCGGTCGTCACAGGGTTACACCTTCAGCCTTGGCTTTGGCTCTGTTTCTTGGCGGTCTACACGCTCGTCCTCTGTTCTCGGCTCTAGTTGTGAGGCTGAGATCTACGCCACAGCCATGGCTGCACAGGAGCTCCGCTGGCTCACCTACCTGCTGACCGACCTGGGAGAGCGGCCTCGTTCTCCTCCAGTTCTGTACGTCGACAACAAGGCCGCCATTGCCTTGTGTCAGGAGCATAGACTGGAGCAGAGAACAAAGCACATCGCTCTGCGTTACTTCCTTGCTCGAGAGTTGCAGTAGCGTGGTCAGCTTCGTCTTGCTCACGTGGCCACTCGGGCCAACACTGCTGATATATTCACCAAGGCACTTCCGTCTGGTGATCATCAGCGTTTTTGTACTTTGTTAGGCCTTGTGCCCACGTTTCCTCACTTGCTGTGAACTTTGCTTTTACCGTGATCTATATATATACCTGCATGCTTGCTCTGTTAGGTAGAGATCACTGTGCTGTTGTTGTTGCATATATACCTCTGCATGTGAACTGGCCTTGTGGCCCTTTGCTTGTGCTCAGTGTGTGTGGTGACGTTGTGATCCACCCTGAGCTTGCTTTGCTTCTCTTGACTGGTCTTGTGACCCCTTGTTCTCCCCCACTTTGCCTATGGGGGTGTATCAAAGTATATGCATGTTATCTATGTGTAGGCTGTAGTGGGGTAGCCAATATGGGGTACAGCCCCTTTTAGGGTTTCATACTTGTACCCAACTCTTTCATAGTTGATTCATTCCTGTCTCTAGATTCTAACATTCCGTTCCTCTCTCTCATGCGCCCGCAGGGCCGCGCTCAGACGTGGAAGGGTTTTCTCCAACGTCCGACCGCCTTGCCCAGCCGGCGACCCCATGATGCTTTGTAACACCGTCCTAACTCCCCTCCGGTTCACCAGTGTTGCGTGTAGCCTCCAGATTCCAGGCCCGCTCTCCTGCGACGACGCGAAAGCGAGGCTGACGTGGATCGCGAACTGGTGGTCCGACAGCTTCTTCGGCACCCACTTATGACTTGCCTCCATTAACTGCCCCAGCAACGACGTTGGCACCAGCGCCCTGTCGATTCTGGACCCGGTGCCTGACGGCCTCGCCTTGAACGTGTACTGCTTCTCCCCGGGGTTGAGCGCCCGGAAGGCATCCCTGAGGTCAAAACCAGACCACGCCTCCAGCTTGCGCTGATTCTCTCTACCGGAACCCGTGTTTGATGACCTGTCCAGATCCGGATCCGCAATGATGTTGAGATCCCCCACCAGTACCAGATGAGTCCCCGCTGGCTGCGCCTTTGCGAACGGGACCAGATGCTCTGTATGGAACTTCGTCCGCTTCCCTGGTTGCGCCGGGAGGTATGCCGCTATCAGCCTGAAAGGCGTCAATCCCCCTTCCACCGTCTCTCCCAACAGTCTCCCTGTATTATGGGTTATCACCTCCGTGAAACGTAAGTGCTTCCTAAACGCCACGATCACCACGATCTCCTGCTCCCTTCTTTGTGCTTGCCGTTGCCCAAGCCGTTGGTTTTAAGTCTTTCCATAAGTTATGGTCTTCCTTGATCCTTGTGTCTGACATCACCACCACATCCGCGGCCTTCTTCAGCCACGCACGATGTTTGATTCTTTTGCCGTTGCCTCCGAGGCCATTTACTTTGACCCCGCAGATGGTGAGTTGCGAACGCTTATCCATTAATCAACCTCCACGGGCTTTATTAAGCTGTGTACAGACAAAGGCAACAATCCTCAACTTCAAACTCCTCCCCTTCTCTAGCTCTGTGTTTATTGCCACCCCGAGCCTGACACATGCAGTGAGTACACTGGAGCTGGGACCCCGCAGCTGAGAGCTCACATCCCGAACTCCTTCTTGACCGCCAGGAGATTCATCTTCCCCTTGCTCTGACGTGTCGCCGAGCCCGCCTTGAGACGCTCGGTGCAGTGCATAACCAAGGCCGCATGCTCCGCCGCCTTCGCGAAGCTGACACCGTGCGCCTTCTCGCACCCCTCCTGAACACACAGCCACTCCTCCCGTGCGCCGTTGGTAGATGTGAAAACCATCGCCGGATCGTCCATGATGGCCTTTGTAGCTGAGGTCAGCTTTAGGGAGGCCGCTTCTTGGAGGGGAGATGGTACAGAGATGAGATGGATCGCCAGCGGCAGCAGCGACCTGAAAAGCACAACTCGAGCAGGCATGATTACCAGTCATCTCGTGAACACGCGCCAGCGGTAAGTTCCACTTCGTAAAGTTGTCTTGCCGCTCCGTCACATACTCATCATGAAAACATGACATATCATGCCGTTGTAGAAATTACAGGTGAGTGCGGGAAAAGAGACGAGTAGGACTGTCCCGTGAACCTTATCCGTCACCCTATGCCACCACTTATACTTATCCCCAGGGTGTCGGTAAACCAACCCCTTGATCTTATCCGTGTCCGACCCTGTAACCGGATCTACCACCCTGTGGAAAGCCGAACCCTCCAGGAAAGCCGTGCGCTTGTGCTTTAGCAGGGTCGCAGTCACCAAGCTCTTCCGGATCATCTCTGGCGTGATAACAGCAGGGACACTCTTCAGCAGCGCCTCGATAGCATCTGGCTTCTTCGACCGCTCCTTCAGGTACTCCTGATTTTTGGGGTGTTGCCATCCGAGCGTCAGGCGGACAATGTGCACCGTCACATGTTCCACCTTCCTGCACCACATAAAGTTGGCATCTGCTGCATGTACGAACACCACTTGAACCTGGCCAAAACGCTCCTTGGAGAGCCACGTCGGCAGAAGCTTGTGACACCTTGTTGTAACCTTCACATTCTCCGTCAAGTGCTCTTCCCACAGCAGGAGAAGCCCGCGGACCGTATCGATCATGCGCGGAACCTTCACGACCCACTTGGCCGGGATGAGCAGCGTGATGGCGAAACCCGCTTGAGACGCAATGTCACTGACCACATCCGGATCTTGACACTCATCCGGATCGTCGCTGAGGTAGCCATCCTCCTCCTCAGACTCCTTGATTGCTTCTTTCCCACTTCCTTGGACGCCAGATGCAGAGGTCTGTTTCACCCCCGTTGCTGCGCGCTTGTCATTCCTTTCTCCCGGCAGGTCATTGATCCTGAGCGCCGACGTCCTCGCCGACAGCTCGTTAACGGCCTCCGCCCCAAAAGGCCCCTGGACACCGTTGAATAAGGTCATTGGCGTGACCGGCTCCGATCCCTTCTTGTTCAAGACACCTCCAGCAGCAGCCGAAGCAGCCGCCTTAGCCTCCGAGGGAGCCATCGTGTAATGATGAGAAGCCTGAAAACGCCGTAGTATGGCTGACGAAAGAACTGAACTGAGCACGGGACGCTCCCTTGTAGGATGATGATTATGCTTCCTCCTGCTAGAGTATAAGTAGTCTCGCCTGGAAAATGTCAATACGCTAGACTGGCTCATTGATGTTGTCTGTGACTTTGGCAAGTTCTCTTGTCCTTGGGTTTTCAGCGTTAGCTTGCGCCTTGATGAAAATGTTCGCTGTATGAACACATAAATTATATCGTTGGATTCCTATTGTCAGTTCGAGTGCAGATCCGGGCTTTAAACTGCTAACTGATAAGAAATCGATAGACATTGGGAGCCTCAAAGTCCCTAGACCAGGCCATGGCGGTCTCGAGGTTGTCATGGTTCTCATGTTTTCAATTGTGTCTGTGATTTGCTCCAAAGTCTAGTTCACACGTTCAGTCTGCCCGTCCGTTCCTAGATGGTACGCAGACGACATGGCTAAGCGTGTCTCAAAAAGTGCGAAAAGCTGCTTCCAGAACATCGAAGTGAATCTAGGGTCGCAGTTAGAAATGATGGAATCTGGAACCCCGTGCGGTCGGACTACGTTATCTACGAACAGCGTCGCGGCTTCCTCTGTTGTGACCTGGCCGTGCATGGGGATGAAGTGCACTGCTCGAGAAAACTTATCCACTACCACGAAGATGGTGTCGTGACCTCTAACTACGCGCGGTAAAGCCATGATAAAGTCCATGGTGACTACCTGCCAAGGGTGGTCGAGTGGAATCGGCTGCAAAAGTCCTGCTTTGCGCTGGCAAGAGGACTTTGTACACAGACACGTATCGCACCAGCGAATATAATCCTCTACGTTTGCTGCAAGCCTTGGCCAGAAGTACATGCGACTAAGCGTTTTAGCTGTCTTGTTTGCTCCGAAGTGACCTGCACTAACTACGTCGTGTGCCTCTGAAAGAAGGAGCTGTCAAAGAGGGCGGCAGGCTGGAACCCAAATCCGTGTGGTACCCTTCAGTATGTGGGAGGGTGTCGGGGGTGTGGGTGGAAGGTGGGAGGAACGGCGAGGGGGAGGGGGAGGGGGTGGGGGCGGTGGGTGGAAGGTGGGAGGAACGGGGCAGGAGATGAGGGTGTGGGGGTGCTAATGCGAGAGATTTGTTTCAATTTGCGTCATCACTTGGGCATGCCGTTTTCAAGTCGCTGAACATGCTCTCCCCACCCAAATGCAGCATTCAACGTTCAAATTCAAACCACCCCTAGGCCCCACCCTACCCTGCCCCCCGCGCTGTCCCTCAGGAGGTCTTGACACTCCACTCTCGTCCATCCCATCAGATGTCATTCGTTGCATTTTTCCCTCCCCTGGTCGCATCTTTCCCTCCCCTTGTCGTGGCTTTCTCCCGATGCCGCCTCGCCAAGGGGCAAGGAGAGGTGGTGATGAGGGAGGGGTGTCTGTGCGCAACTTTCCTGTGGTTGTGGCTCTCTTCTGACGCCAATCATTGGGAAAAAGAGTGCATGTTGGGCTGGTTAGGCAGGGCTGCTTAGGCAGGGCTGGTTAGGCAAGGATGGTTAGGCAGAGCTGGTTAGGCAGGGATGGTTAGACAGGGATGGTTAGGGTGGTTAGGGTGGTTAGGCTGGGTACCCCACTTACTCACCCCACTTGCTCACCTCACTTGCTGACCTCAATGAGTCGCAAGTGCCCACGCGCAGGGGGGGGGGGGGGGGGTTTGGGGAGGAGGAGGAGGAGCAGACAACTCTGGACCCTGAGCACAGGCACTTGTTCCCATCCCGCAACCCTAGCCACTTCCCAGCCGGCCTCCTCTTTCAGACACGGAGGTGGGCGGGACGGCACCCGGATCATGCGGTGTGGGGCTGGGGTGGAACGGACAGTCGCTTTTGGACTCTACCTTGATGTTGGGATTTGGGGTGTGGGGGAATTGAAGGGAATAGACAAGGCCTACACCCTGCTATTGAGATGCATCATCAGTCCCACCAGCTAGCACTGCTGCTGTGTAGTTAACTCACTGCCATTGCTGTTACGCTCCTGGGGAGAATAGGCGATTGTGGGAGAGCCTAGGCACAAAGTTGCACGATCAGAGAGTGAAGTGCGAGTTTGCGTATACGGACTTGTTGGGAACTGGATATTGGCAATCGGAGAACATTATTCTTGGTATGCAGTTACAGGCTTGGTATCCAGTAACAGAAGGAAAGAAATTGATTAATTGATGGATTGCAACAAATGCAACATGAACCTTATAGGAAATATAGTGACATGTACGAGAACGTTCTACGAGAATGTTGTTCATGAAGAACATTGTTCAAGGAGAACGTGCAAGCACCTACTCTAGTATGTGGTTCCAGGTTGGCACCGCCAGGTGAAAACGCCATCAGGTGAAAATACCGTCAGGCGTATTTTCTACCTGCTCAGGGAGTAGTTGCGCAGGTGCTCGCAACAGGCAGCTGCACATACTCGTTTGTGCAATGTCGTCACTTCCCTCCAATTCGGTTCAGTGTTGAACAGTGCATACCGAAGTGCACTATCGGAGTGTACTCGGCGAATACCGAAGCTCCCGTATGCGGTAAGCGAAACCTCGCTACATCGCATAGGGCTGCTACACGCGAGACCAGGCGCGTGCAGGGCTTCACCTTAACAGCTCCGGCCACCGTCTCACTCCTACTGCCATCTTCACTCCCTCTGCAGAATTCGAAGCCAGGTGTGGAGGCAAGAGGTCCATGCAGGCCAGGCTGCAGGCAAGACTTGTTGCAGGGGGTTTGACCCAATCATCCTCCTGACACGACGCCTCCCACCGCCCTCTCACTCCCACCCACCACCACCGCCGCCATGCAGGAATGGCAGTATGGTGGGGCAGCAAGAGGTCAAGAGCCATGTTGCAACAACTTGCTACAGTCAAATGTGAATCATATGAGGGGGAATTACGAGCTGCGCAATACTAGCCGTTTGGGTTGTGTTGTGTGCCGCTTAATATTTACCGGTATAAAATGTAAGAAACATGGTGTGCATGATTGCGCTGGACTACCTAGGGTGGTATGCAAAAAAATCAAGTGCATGATGACCCGCGATGATGTGGGAAGCTTGTAGCATATCGTTTATTGGGGTTGTTCAAAATTCCTAGTTAGAGCTAGTTGTATTTTGTTAAGATTGTGAAAGGATTTTTTTTATTCCCACTGTAGGCCTACTTAAGCTTGTCTGTTCCGAACAACTCGCTTCTAATGGTTCGGTCTACGTTTTCGCTCCGAAGCACTTCTGAGTCGCCTCCGTACGTTTCGTTGCATCCCGAGCCTCGTTGAACCTGAGGTCCTCGCCTAGCTAGACTATGCCTATTCAATCCTCGTTTAAGACATTCGTGTAGCGTTCAGTGTTTTAGTTTGTTGATCTCACGCAAATCAATACAGTTTCTCCATCGTTGCAGAACGAATTTCTGCGTCCCGAAATCGTCTGGCCGAATCTCGATGGACGTGGCGATTCTTGGCTAGCAATCGAAGGTCGTTTGCAGCGCCAGGTAGTGGCGCAAACGCTACTGCGTCAGAACGACGGGATAGTATGCCTCAGCGGACGAATTTTGCCGCCCAATTTCGCGGTTTAAATGGGACACGGGCCCCTCTCGAGATTGACGAGCTCCTGACGACCTCCGAGCGGCAAACTGAGGCCCAAATGGCGTCTCAGGGGCCTCGGGAGCCCTCGGGATCGTCGACATTCTGACGACCTTGGGTTTCGCTGGGAGAAACCTGAGAAGTATATCTCAGTGGACAAAATAGGAAAGCTCGCCACGTCAAGCCTCAACTGCTGCCACGCGGCCCAATAGGGAGGAGCCAGATCATCCCCAACGTGTACAAGGCACGTCGTGGCCGCGCGTTGCTCCAGCGGTGAATATTTCGCGCGGGAAGTCGACGTTCCCTCCAAAATTGTCGGTGCGCGATCCACGCGGCGCAAATCGGTCCGTAAAAAATGTTACTGTCCTATGGCATCGCGAGTTGCAAGCGATGTCGGTGTCCATCAAGTCATCCAACGGCCCACAACTGAGCCTCGCGGCACATTCACAACACTATCTAGGTTAAATGAACCTAGGCACACATCCAAGCGTGTCGCAGGGTAGTCGGCACCGATCATGAGGCGCTCACGGTAGGGTTGCCACGCGGCTCTTCAATAATCCAGGGCCCCTGGGAGATGGAAGTCGGCATGCCGTAATTTCCGCGGAGAGGCACCAATGTCGGCCCCACGGCAAGTAACACACACCCGTTCCACCGTGGAATGGCCCAGGCTTACGCCCCTTGGGTGCAGCGCGGCGTCCCATGAGCCATGCTTGGTACGTGGCACATCGGACATTGCGCCGCCGCACGAGAACACATGCATAGCGGCAGAAGCATAGGGGGTTGCGTGAAGCGCGGCAGCATCGGAGTCGCTCAGGACCATACCCCTCCGAGACCTTGCGCATGTGCTCATTCCCTTGTCCGTTCCTGCGTTCCTTCCTGCTCTTTCGTGCACTTAGAATTTTCCGCTGCCTGTCTATCATCTCGCCTGTAGGTTACTCGGTTGCCGACTAATCGATCATGTCAGCACAGGTTGCTTCTACCTGGCACCCACAAATCAGGTTGGCAGAGGTCAGTGCTAGTCGACGTCGACGTCATATGCGTTAGGGCAACATCGGTGCAAACTATCAACATCTCGGCCGACGCATGGCCAGAGGTCGCCCTAGAGCCCAACAGCCGCAACCCATCCCACCCCCCTCCGACTCAGTAGACGCCGACATCAAAGTGCAGCTGGAATGTCTCGAGGTCGAAGCTGAGTTAGACGCACTTGAGCGAGAATTCGAAGAAGACCGCCGCGCAACTCTTCGGGCGTACATCGCACCCGTGACTCAGTACTGTCTCTGGTTTACCAACCTCCGCATCGCACATGGTCGACGGTAGAG